TGGCAATAATTGGTGGTTTTCCGTGGGAGCTATTACATAATGCTTGGGTTTCTGTGGAGCTGCACTAGAAAACGTGGATGGACATGTCAAAAGACACAAACTATACTGCAGTGTATTATGGACACGGAAAGGGGCCAGACTCAGCTCTTCCTTTCACAACAAAACAAGGGTTGTTTCGATGTATTTTAAATAGATAGTGCTTTTTGTTGTTGGTTCAGCTCAATCCATCAAAAATCCTAAAAGAATTAGAGGGAGAAGAGGAAGTCAGTGGTGGTTGGAAATAGAGCCAAAATGTTAGGCAAATAAAAAACCCCAGACTGTTTGTTTGCAGGCAGCAGTATTTGGGGTTAATGGCACTTTTTATCCAGACTGGAGCAGAGAAAAGGAAATTCTTACGACTTAAAAATATTGCTGTAGCGTGAACCACAGTTCTCAGCCAGCTCTTGTTCTGAAGCTATTTATTTGCCATGACTAATTTGGGGTTTCAAATGCGGTCACCGCCTCACACGTGGCGGTGCCTGGGCTCTCTGGGCACCAGCAGCCCAGGAAGGGAATGCTGCTGGTTCCCACCGGCAGTGCCAGCCCTGCTCTGGAGCCCCAGAATGAAAACTAACACTGAGCTTCTAAAATGCATTTCTCATGTGTGCACAGGAATGCTCCCACACTGAAATTAAAGTGCAAATGCAGATCAAATCACTGCCTCCCTGGTTCTCATCTTGCCCTATTTTTTTTTTTTTTTTAATTAGTCAGCCCAGGGACACTGAGAAGCCAAGTGTCTTGACAGTACAGAGGTGATTTGGGAAGGGCTGGTGGGCTGCAAAGCTCCTGGCAGTGGGATCAGTGCCTGGCTCAGCTCTGCAGTTGCCTCTGTTTTAAGGGTAAATATATTGCTAAATTTGTTGAACTGATCATCACTTTCCAGGGAGCAGGAGAGGCAGGCACTTCAAACACAGGTGGTTTGATTTCTCCCCCTGCCCCATCTGCTCTGTGGACTGAAGAGAGCATGTCCCACTGCCCCTTTCCCAGCACAGGCAGTGTCTCAATCTGCCATTAATAAGGATGAGAAAGGGGGACTTGAGGGGATTCTGGGTTCATTTATGGCAATGCCACTTTCAAATTCCTTCAGTTCTGTGTGACGCACATTGGGCATGAGCTGAGATGCACCAGGCAGAGAGATGGGCTAAAAATAAACCTGGAGTGTCACTGCTGTGTTAGTCTCCTGTTGATACTTCTTGGTTTGTTTTATAACATCTTCAAGACCAGTCAAATGGGGGAAAAAAAACATAAAAGAGAGAATTTTTGCTTTTGAGGCTGGATCAAGAGTGTGCTGGTACAGATTGTGTCATTTCACTGAGTGGCTGCAGAGCTTTGGTACTGGTTCACACTCATGCTTATGCATGCCAAACAAAAAAGTATACAGCTTGTGCTAATTCTTAATGCATTATTATATTGATACCAATTCAATTTATGTTAGTTAATTAAAGGAATGAACAAATTAAGTCAGCGTTTACCTATCCATGTGAAAGAAAGGGACTGTGGTGCTGCAACTTGGACTCAGCAAGTGTTGGCACCCTGAAAAGAGACCAGGAGCACAGGAGGTGGCAATCCAGCAGACCTTGGGCTCGGGACTTGTTGGCTGTATGGAGAGAAGGACTAAATCAGAGAGAAAAGCTTCCAAATAGGAAATTTTGGAAAGAAAGTGCATGCTTTTAAATGCATTTGGACATTGCATTAATTGCCTGTGAGATGTATGGCCAGAGTGGTTCCCTGCACTGTCCCCTCCCCAGGGACACCTGCCTGCCTGGCCTGGCCTGGCTGGTCCTGCTGTGGCCAAGCTGCTGGAAAGTAGCTCACAGCACTTTTGCTTTTTTCCTGGAGGGAAAAAGTAATTTCTTCCTCTGAAGGCCATGGCTGGAGCCACCCTCTGCTAATGAATGCACACCATCAGTGAGCAGTAATGGAAAATCGGGGATGACGTGGCAGGCAGTGGCTCGCTTTCAAGGCACCAAAAAAGCCCTTTCAAATTTAAATTTAGAGAAGAATTAAAAGCACGTATAGGCAGACTCTATTAAGGAAGTGAAATATTTGATCTTGCTATTAATCTGTTATAAGCATACTTTCATTTCCTTGCCATATGTATCCAGTGATAGACTTTCATAAATGAAATCACATTAAAATATACTTTATGTTTCTAGTCAAATCTCTTTTATTATTATGCAAGTCGTAGTTAGGAAGAAAAAAAACAATTACAGAAGCAGACTAAGAAGAGTAAATTATTTTAACCCATTTATACAAGTGAAATACTGCTCCTGCTTGAAGGCTACATGTTGTGCAATAGTAGATGCCTTGGGAAGAGGTTGCTCCATTGCAGCCGTGCTACCAGCTCTGGAATAACTTACAGGCTTTGGAGAGATGCAGGGCCTGCTTTGGTGGAGGTGTTAATTCAGAGTCAAAGGGACCATTGACAGCCTGAAACCAGCACAGAGCATCACAATGGATGTTTCAGAGTGAGAGGGATAAAGTGGTTTACATCTTATAACTTACTTTGCCTGATTAAGCACAACTGTCTGTTTTAAACCTTAAAATATGGGCATCCAAATCCATGTCATATTTCTGGTGCTTTTCAAACGTCTTTTCATTTCCACTCAAGCAGCCTGACAGAGACCCAGCAGGGGCCACAGCATCTGCTGTCATGCTGCTGGAGCAGACAGCTTTGCTTCCAGATTCACAAATGCTGTGGATCCTCATGCTTCCCTAGGATGGGGCAGCCATGGTTCACAGCGAATGTGTACACTGCCATCATACTGTGGCTGAAGGGAAAAGTCCAATCTGGCCTCTCCCAGAAGAGGGTGCAGATAGAGGCTTAAATCTGCAAAATGCAGATGTGGTTGGTGTGGCTCTGCTTTGATAGAGAGCTGTCCAGAACAAACCAGTATTTGGCAATTTACTCCAGGCCACGTGGTGTCTGAGCCTGGTCCCCCCTGAGTCCTCCCAGCTCCAGGTTCAGCCCTTCCTCACCTGGGTGGGATTCTCAGTTGGTGCCTTGGCTGTGCCCTGTCTCAGAGCCCTGCAGGCAGGGCTCCCAGCCCAGGGCAGCCAGGTGAGGGGGAAACCCTCGCTCAAGTGCTAATTTGGCACCAGATTAGCTGAGATCATCTTTTGTAGAAGAATGAAACATTGCTATCTGCCCGTGGTTTTAACTATAGCAGAACCTCACACGTTTTTAGTAATTTTTAATCATTATTAGACAGCAAAGATTTACAGCTGTTTGCATTTGTGAAGCCTCAGATTACAAACAGCTTCTGATTTTTAGAAAATAATGGGCTACAGATTCTTTAGTAATGGATGAAGGAATGTCAAATATCTGGGTACTGAAACGAAATCCCCATTGTCAAGGCAATTAAATACCTCGTCCCTGATGCGCTTGGTTTACTGTGCAGCTATTGGCAGACTGCTCTGCACTAGGTTTGGTGTCATTACTGTGAATCAACCACGTTCTAGACTCTATAAATATTAATTACAATCCCCTCATCTTAGGCATGGCAGATGCAAAGATGTGATGATGCTGTACGATGCTGTCTCCAGCTGACAGAGAGGCACAGCCTTCCCTGCCAGCGTGAGGCTGTCGCAGCTCCGACCATCAGGTCCGGGGTACATCAGGATTTCTGTGTGTTGCCTCAGAGAGCAGATTCTCACTGAAGTCTACATAGTGAACAAAACACTTGAACACCTGGTGGCTTGATGTTTTGTGGGGTTTTTTTCCCTTTTTCTTTAAAGTGACACATTTGTAGATAATTAAAACAAAGGCTGAGTGGTTTTTTTTAATATGCCGTGACTGTTAGCAGCTGGATGAGGAATAAGCCAGCATAAAAGCAGCACACTTCTTATACCAGCTATAAATAAAACCAGCCTTCAAGAGCATGCTTTTTTCTTTTTCCTTCCTTTCTCCCCTCCACAAAAAAAAATCTTTTCTTTGTGCCAAGACTAAAATATTAGCACTGTGTTCCCTCCTCTGTTTAAACAGACCTCATTGCATCTAAGTGCCAAAAAAGTGGAATTCCTGAACAGCAGGTGAAAAGAAAACACAAGATCAAAAGCAGTTCTGGCTGCCAAGAGAACCTGCAGCACGGCTTGGGGGGTGCATGAAAAGTCACGCAGACTCCTGGTGGTGTCAAAGACTTTTGGAAGGTCGTCAAGGAGTTTTTTTCAAGCATCCCACATCAAAAAGCTGTGCTAGGAGACAAAGCTGCAATACATTATGAGGATGGTGCTAAAGATACCAGTCACCCACTTTTAGGAGAGTTTAACTTTTTCCCCATAACACCTATGGAAGCAGCTCTAAGAGATCTGTGCTCTGTGTGGAGACCATGGGTATTTCTGCACCCATCTGGATATTCCTAAGCCTGTGACAGAGTCCTTTCTCTCTGGATGATGATCACCTTTGAGGATCCATGGAAGAAACTGCTGCAACACTTTTCATAGCTGATGGCCTTCACAGACAGGACTTCAGTCAAGCTCCTTGTTAACCCCTTCTGACCCTCTGCCTACCACTCCTTGACATCATTGGAAAAGGCAGGGACACTCTGGCCAAAAACCAGGCATCTGGGTTTGAAAACAAGGAAAACTTGGCCGAAAAAGCTCAGATGTGTCTCTGTATCCCACAGTGCAGGCAGTGCTGGGAGCCCTGTGAAGTTCAGCCACCTTCCAACCCTGCACTGGAGGCAGCACCCCAGGTCAGGCTGCAGCTCTGTGTGCCTGTGAGCCGTCCTCTGACCAACAGAACTGATTTCCAAAAGGCATCCGTGGATGTTTCCCCCATAATTGCTATGGCTGGGAAATGGAGCCTGAGAAATGACTGACTGGACAGCAACCCTGGAATCAGAGGCTGGAAGTGCCTGGGCCCATTTTTCCTCCTAAAAATTACCAAGGAGCAAAGTTCTTTCAAATAAGACACACAGAGGTGGAGTTGCAAATAATACAAGGTGCACACGTGCTCCTAAAGACAGCTTTTTTTTTTTAATTATTTTTTTATTTATTATTTTAAAACTCTGCATCTGAAAACACAGTATGACAGAAAGCATTTATATACACTGCAGTGTTTTTGGTATAATACAGTATTTCATACATCCATTTCTTTTTCTGCAAAAAAATGTGCTTTGTCGGACAAACAACCAAACTCCCATTGACAAAGAATACAGCTAAGGCACATTGTTTCTGCTAAATGAAAGACAAAAGGGTGCAAAAACGGGTAGTGCAATAATTGCTGAAAATCACATTCTACTACAAGAAAAGCATTCTGACTTTGAACTTTGATTACTGGTCAATTTAAGACATTTCAATATCTCATAAAATACTCCTTTAAATAAATAGCAAAATATCTACATCTTTCAGTGTGTTCCATTTGAATTTCCAATTTTTTTTTTTAAACTTTCCTGTATATACATGGTTTTCTTTTTTCTTATTCAATAGATTACAAAATATTTCTGTACAATTTTATGCATATTATGATCTATAACAAAATAGTTATTTCTTAAAACTATATTACCACCGGTCTTTGAAAATGACAGAATAGAAATAACTTATTATGGACTATGTTAGGCAATAGAAAAATCCAATCAACCCAAAACAGAACCAAAAGGACAAAGTCAGAAAAATAATTTCATTACACTGAATTAATTATTTTTGTTCCACAAATCTTGTTTTCCATGTAAACCCTTTTCAGTTGCCTTTGGGTTGTATCCACATCTGAATACCAAAACAGGATAGGATTTGGGAATTCCTAAAAGCCCTGCAGCCTGCCGGGAATATTGGTGCTACTGAAAGACGACAGTTCTCATGGAGAAAAGTATTAAAGAAACCCAACATACACCAGCCCTAGAAGAAGTCATTGGTTTCTGCTGACTTTGACAACCTTTGGATGAAGCTCCAAAAGCCAGAGTTTTGAAACTGCATTTATGACTCAGACTCCACTATGATCTAAGTGTACTGTTAGATTCCCAACCACCACTCCAAATCTGGCCCATGTGGTGACATTCTTCAGGTTTTAAGATCATACCTTGAAGAGGATATTTCTTCTCCCAGCTACCAGTACAAATCTGAGAGGAAAGTTACTACATCGTGTTAAAATGAGTGAAATTACTGCACAATTTGTCTTGTGCATCTGAGAGCAGTCTGTCTTGTTGTAGTCTGAAGATAAATTAAAAGTTATTAAGTTTGTTCTTTGGAGGTAATTAAACCACCCTTCCTTATCTACACTGAGTTGGGAAAGACAGAGTTCATAATTTCCTAAGGTTCATATGAATGTCTGAGCTTTCCTTTTGCCCAAAGGGAAGGTCATTTACTTCCTTTAAAGACTGCATTTGTAAGCAATTTCTATTGTATTTGTGAAGTGTAAGCTGACAGCAACACAACTGAGCTGTAATAGAAATCTCAAGGTGCCTTTTATTCATTCCACAATAAACAGAGAAAGTGAGCAAGACACAGACAACACCAAAGTTCCTAACACAGTTTAAGGCCACATTTAGAAAGGATGAAAGTAAGGCTTTCTTTAAGGGGCAACACACTGGATGCCACAATGGGAACAGACACCGAGCGATCCAAAGCCGATAGGATTCACCCACGGAAAAGCTGAAACAACATCCTAGTTTTGGCCAGCAGGTCTGTGCCTTTTTTTTTTTTTTGGATCTAAGCAGGAAAACGAAATGAAATGCCATAGACATCCTCCTCTGGAATATTCCCAGCAAACTGAAGGTGCTCCCCTAGCAAGAGTGCTATCTTCTCAGTCGAGGGTGTTAATTACAACAGAACCAAAGACAAGCCGAGTCATTACAATATACAAATGCAGCGCAATGAACCGCGCCTAGAAATGTCACTCTGTTATCAGAGGCACCTGTACAGTATCTTGCTGTTTATTTGGCAAGGTTACAAGTAATACTTCTAGGTTTTAACAAAGTAGAAAGAGAATTTTGCATAGATTGTACATTCAGTTCAAGGAGATTTCTGGTACCTTTTTTTGTTGTTCTCAGGTAAACGTGTTTGCAGACACAGTGAGGTAGCAGCTGTGATAGCACCCATGAGCAAAAGAAGGTAACCAAGGCAGAAGCAAAGAGCAGAGTGATGAACACACCACTGTCAGTAGAAAGGAACAGAATCAACATGGTACCTGCAGTGTCACATTGTGAGGATTAACTGGTGCCAATACCACTTAACTGAGACACCCTAATGCTGCTGTGGTCCTGGGTAACATGGGCTGTAAGATCTTGTTGCCTCAATTTTAAATGCTCTCAGCCTGACGCTTCTTTCCCTTACTATGATGGTCTACTACTTCCTACCAGGTCGGTCTTACTCTGCTCCTGAAATAACCAAGTCTCCTCTTACATATATCAAATACCCTTACCTGAAAATCAGGAAAAGGTAACTGCTGGTTTTCACCAACTCCTTCCTGTGTGTGAGTACTGAACTGACTGAAGGCCGCTCTGAAAAGCCAACTTTTCTGGTCTGCAGCAAGGGTTTTTTAAGAAGCCTAAGGGATTTGGCTCACACATGTATAAAACTTCCTGCTCAGTGGAAAGTGGTGGAGTTGGCCAAGGTTTCACGTGGCCGACTCCTGAAGCTTTGGGATGTGGGAAGACAAGGAGGGTGTGATAGCCAGCGGCAAGCTGGCAGTTCTCTGCCAGCTGTGATGAAAGAGAATGAGAGAAATCAACAGAAAGCTGGTCCTCATTGCCTGGCCACAAGAAAGATCTGGATCTTGTTTTCTTTTTATCTGGGAAGTCAAAGCTAAGATCTCAGGGGATCCATGGTTCTCAGCCTTGCTGTGCAGAAGGAGCCCAGTTTGTTCAACATTTTGTTGCAGCACAATTGTGTCAAACTTTTGCTAAGTTTCAGCATCCTCTTTACCCTTCCTCTCTCCCTTTGGTCAGGTTTAGACTATGCCAGCTCTGATTCACTGACTTCACTACTCTGCTCACTGTAATCGTAGCTAAGAGTGATGGAGGCTTCATTAGCATTGCAATTAGTGCTACAAGAGATGGAGAGAAAGTGAATGCCCATTAGTTGGTCCTTCTGCAGGTGCTGCAGGATCACTGTTAATATGCCGTTAAACAACTGTACAGGCATTGTGCACTGAAGCCAATACCCAGGAAAGTCAATTTGTAATACACGAATGCACACCCCTGTATCTCTAGGCTTAGCAATAACGAAGGCTTTACAACAGAGATACACAGGAACTTCCTTGTATAACACTTGCTATCATGAAGGAATTGTTAAAATTCTCTACTTGCCAAGAGCACAAAAAATGAAGACATAATTTCAATTCTAAAAAAACCCCCCCTTGAATATCAGGAAATGAAAATGCAAATATTACTACTCAATGTCCAAATGTCATCAAAGAAAGAATTGGACAAATCTGAAAATAAACTGTCATTTGAGTGATTTCGTTTAGCCTCGGGGTTTAACATTACCATATAAACAGGTTTGCATAATGCTAAGACTGACTTTGGACATAATTCATTAAATCATGTATGTAGATGTTCTGCATTTTGCCACGTTGCCTTTCTGTGTAATACAGATTGATCACAGGAGTGTTACATGGCTGTCGTGCAGAATGGGCATGGAATTTAAACAAGGAAAGCATTACACACAGAGGACAAATGTGTGCCTATGGAAATATAACCCTCTCCCATTGAAAGGGATTTTGATCAAACCTGGCTTTCAGCTGGAATCCCGTTCAGCCAGGACTGGCCAGTATGATTGGACAGTAACACCTGCACATTCAGATGAAGATGGATAACTCGCTTCTTTTATACAAACTGTGGGTCCCTGCTCTGAATTCTCCTTTTCACCAAATGTAAGATCTGTGAAGTTATTCTCTTCTGACAATTGACAATGTTCATCACGGGTTTCCAGTGCTGCCATTTCAGGCCAGAAAAACCACTAAGCAGGACGTTGGCCTTAGCAGCGCTACCACTGATCCCTGATGCAGGGTCTGGCTTTACATGGTTTTCAATCACAACTACAGGATTTTGTAATGCAGACACAGAGTACCACATATAACTTATGGATCCATGTCTGTACATTAATAGCTATAGTAGAGGTGGTTATTTAGTTCCAGAATTTTACACTGCCCCGAGAAGATTTGCCAAAAATGGCAGTTTATCCTTTGATGAGTTCAAACAGAGACAGCAATTTACCCCTAGCATACCGTCACACAGTTTAGGTATGCTGGACTTGACTCTGAAGCCCTCACTCAGCATTAGTACTCTGTAGAAGTTTTGCCTGAGAAAGGACTGCAGGGTCAGCCCCTTCAGCTCTGCATCCCATGTTTTAACAGCAGCACTGGGATTGCCAGCTTGCTACAAAACTTCACTGTGTAGATACTTTTTGTCTTTCAGAAAATAAACTAATATAAGTTTTGCTTTGAGATATTTTAAACCTAGCATATAATGCAAATGGATATATCAGCAACCATTAATTTTCTTTCCCTTTTTTTTTGTACTACAACGAAATAATTTGCACCTTATATTTTAAACGATAAAAATGGCAGATTTTTTTTTCTTAACCACAGAAGACGTGATTGCTGTCACCTTCTGCTTGGTCTAGTTAGTAATGAAGACTTACCAACAAAGCACTTAAAAACATTCCTGCTTAAGAATAAAAATAAGCATCAAATTTTAAAACTTAAGTTATCTGCATGCGTGCGCGTGGGTGCACCCCTACACATATGCTTATGTGCAAGACAGACTGAAGATTTTGTGACTACCCCAGTAGCCTTATTGAGAACAAGCACTGCCTGGGCTTGTTAATGAATTTTATTGTGTGCCCTAAATACAACATTCTTCATTTAATCTGAAGGGCTTGGACCGTGCAGTTGCCATTGCATCAGTGTGACTAAAGCCCTGGATTTCACAGTGAGGATTGGAGGTCCCCAGAAAAATATGAACTTCACAAAGGAATGTTAGATTAAAAACAAGCACTGTTAAAAAACCCTACTGAATAAGAAATAACACTGTGATTCTATTACATAAACCTGTTGGCAACCCTGGTTTCAAACACGCTTGCGTCTAGAGCTGGTTGAAAAACTGGAGCATTGTCTTGATTGAAATATTTCAACCAGTTCTCATTGCTACAAACTTCCCTAAAACTACGGCTCATGACTGTCAAAATCAAGACAAAAAAAGAAAGGGAGGTGTGAGGGGAGGAAGGCCTTTTCTTAATAAAGGCAGCTTCAGTTAGTAAAATAACATAATCTTCAAGCTGCAAAGGCAGCACCTACTAATTAGTCATTGACTAAAACATAAATAATAAATACCTAAATTGTTCCTTCTATGCATCCATTTTTGTGCCAGATAAACATTTCAATGCTCTGCCTTAATGCCAGCACAGCTGACACCACAATTTCAAGTCCAAAGCAAACTGCAAGTAGCTTTAAACCAATATGACAGAGAGATTCTACAAGTCACTGGGAACTGTGTGTTACAGTCATACTGGAATTGTTATTTAAAAGGGAATTCAACCTTCCTGTGAGATTTGATTATGGAATGATTTAAGGGTCTGTTTCCCTCCTGGTGTGCACACTCAACTCTCAGCAGAAAGTTAGCCATGCACACAGAATGGTGAACAGACACCTTACTTCATTAGAGCAACAGGACTTCTTTCCTAATTAACCCAATAGCTTCTAATGGCCTTTTTGGGTTCTGTTGCTAATAAGAGATTATTACCACAGCAACTACAACAAAGTGCATGTTTTTGCTAACATCAAATGCATTAGTTGGAGATGAATTTGCATACAAAACCTGTATTTTAAAAAGTTCTTGGAATGTAAATTAATTTTTTCCTACCGCAGAAAATGCATGTTAAAATGATGCAAAACATGCCTATTTGAAACAGGATGCAGCTTGCTAGGAATTCTGAAGGCAGGCAAGGGTAGACTGACAGAATAAAGTAAAAGCACAGAGAAACATGGCATTGCTCTCCTTTTTGTTCAGCTTCTGGCTTCAGGCAGGGACCCATGTCCTGCACAGCTTTCCAGATGCCCTGCACAAGCCTAGAAGGATCCTTCTTCACAAAGAGATGGAGATCTGAGACCAAGGGAGGGAATTAGTGTTAAGACTAACTAGCCACTGCTCAAACTAGGGAAGAAATCCGTTGTTGCAGATTTAGGTCTCAATTTGACCATTTCACTGGTTCTGTGCAACTCCATCACCTGAGAAAAAACTCAGCTCAGCTCATGAGCAAAATCAGGAAAGGATGTGAGCAGACACATCACAACCCACCCCAACCTACACATGCACAACTGCTGTACTGGCAGCCTGTGAAAATGCTCAGGTACTGGTGGGCTCAGAATATACCTGCAGATTTGAAAGGGCTGAAATTCAAAATACTTCTTTGTTCTTTAATAAATACTCTTACTGCGCTGACCCTGAACCCGACTGCATGAGACATAAAAGACTAATATAGCAAAACACTTATTCCATTTAGAGCTGATTGTGAAATTAGTCTAAAAAATCTCTGAAAGTTTCTGCGTTTGTTTGTTTTTCCTAACTAGGATAACAGACATCAGCTGAGTCCAGAATTACTCTGTGTTATTAAAAACCAGAGGGATGGTGTACCATAATTATTTCACATTCTGTGAGGTTATGTGGCCATAGAGGCTCCAGCCTGCAGTTAACTCACCTCTGGGAATTTTGCTGTGATTTATTCATGGTAGCAAAATAATGAAAGCCTATGAAGTAGCAGAGGTGCAGACAAATTTATTTTTAAAAAACACTTTTAGCAGCTGCTCCTTCACTGCCGTCTCCATGGCTTGGCACTACTGTTTCCAAACCCACAAGACAGTGGGTGCAGCAGCACGTGGTACAGCCGGGTCCCCACGGGACAGCACAGGCTGTGGGACAAGTGAAGCTGCTCCCAACAGAGCTGATGGAGAGGGCAGTGCCAAAGGCCTTGTCTGAAATTATTTTTTTTTTTAATATTTTTTTTAAAATGAATTATATATTGCAATAGGTAACCAAAAAAAAAGTAACATTCCCTTAGGTTTCTGAAATCTGGTGTGGGATTCACACAGAAGCAAGGTTAAATTCCCTTTTAAGAGCCTATGCCGGAGCAGGGCGTGCCGGATGCTACCTCAGGCGGCCGTCGGGTTTGACGGGGCCCAGCTCAGATTTGGGGTCGGGGCTGAGGGAGCTCCAGGCTGTCTGGGCACAGCCCTGCATGACCGGGCAGGCGGTGGGGCCGACGCTGCAGATGTCCACGGCTGACCAGACGCTGCCCACCAGAGAGTCCACCCAGGCCTCCAGGCGCGCGCCCACGAGCCCCGCGTTCCTCTTGGCCTGGTCCACGCGGGCGGCGCTGATGGGGATGTTCAGGACGGGGTTCAGGCCCTGGAAGCTCTGCTCCATGTACGCGTTCTTTGGAGGCCCGCTGTGGTACTTCATGGCTTCCTCTGGGAACGCAGAAATAAACACAAAAGTTAGTGCCTTACAAAAAAAACCAAACCCAAAAGTTGGTACGTAAAAGACCCAACATTGAGGACCTAAGGGTACAGCAAACAACAAGAGCAAGGTTAGTGGTGCACTGTGTCTCATTTCCCCAGCACTGAGGACATACTGTGTCCCAGGGATGACTGGCTGTGCTCAGCACCGTAAGTTCTGCTCACTGTGATGCTCACCCTGAAAGCACTGCCTTGGCAGGGGGAAGCTCTGAGCCTGAAAGCAACATCGCCCTTTTTATCAGCACATACAGCCAGCATCCTCAGAGCTGTAGAACACCCAGCCATGGCTGCATTTCGAAACGAGGAAACAGTTCAAGGATGCCAATCCCTGTCAGACCTTCAAGTGGTATCATTGATTTGTCTAGGAGGAAGAGCCAAGATCTCAGACTGCTTTGGCTTTTCTTTTCCCCTAAAGAGGTGAACCTTGACCAGTTGTGGAAAAGTCATAACATTTCTTAGCTCTATCTGCCATTCCTGGCAACACCATGGCCTTGGACAGACCAGAACCATAATGAAATATGTGTAGCCCCAATATCATTCCTGGAAGAGCTCCAGTTTCCCTGGGAAAGAATTCTCTCCTGACAATTACATTTCAAGCACTTGGGCTGAACAGTAGATCACAACCATTCCCTAATGACTCTTTTCTTTGCATTTGTGGTTGCTTTCCTTTCAGTAAGCCTTCTGTCTCAGCAAAATGCAGTACAATACCCCAAATCTGCAATATTGCAGTAAAAATCAATGTCAGGCTGTGAGAATGCTCTCAAAAACCTAAACTGGACACTGTGGGTCAGGCTGCCTGTGTCTAAAGTTGTCTGACTTCTGAAGGTCGGTGAGTGCACCGAGGTGCTGCTCATAAAATCAGAATGGGACCCTCCAAAAATGTTCACCGAGTGCCTCTTGGGAGCAAATTTCCAACCATTTCTTTCTGTTCTCAGCTGCCTTCCCCAGCATCCTCGCTCTGGCAGCACAGAGGATATGTTTAGCTCTGCCAACAGACACACTGTCTAGAACAGAAAATGGGCCCATTCAGGGCGCTCCAGGCGAGGAAAGCCACCGTGCACAGCGAGCGTCAGAGGCCAGGAATTACAAATTCACGGCTACAATTCCTTCCACATGTCCTTGCTGCTTGCACTGCAGCCTGACACTGAGTCCTTTCTTCCACGCAGAGGACAGTATCTCAGGTGCTGGCAATAAATCTGTATATTTATTCAGAGGAAAAAAAGGGACGTTTAATTGGAGCTTTGCTGTTACATTTGCAAAATCTTTAATGTCAAGTACTGTGCAATTCCATTACTGCAAATCCCCAATTAAACTTGTTCAGCACATCCACATCACTTAACTGTTCCTGTGTCCATCTGACACCCTCTTTTTATTTTAAAAGGTAGATATCCACAATAACCTCTGGTCAAAATGAGTTAGTTCCATGAACATGTGTCAGGAGTGTGTTCTGCCAGAGCACTGCAGTTTAAGAAACAGAACAAGTATACGTGATTAAATTTCCTTCTTTGGAAGCAATTAAATATGGAAGACTGTTTGTCAACATATTAATTAAATAGGAACATTCTGAGGAAAAATCCCAAAATAAATAAGAGTTGGCATTACTAGCAGGATCATCTGATTGAAACAGGCAATTCATCCAGCTTGTTGAATCAAAGCCTGTTGTGCATGTGTTTAGTGCATGGAACAAGAGAGATCTTTATTCAGACATGAAACAGGATGAAATGGAACTTGCTCATCTCTCTGGCTCAGCCTTGCACTTGTCCCAGGCCTCAGGACGTGGTGGATTATCAGGACTGTAAGGAATGAAAACTAAAGAAACCACAGGACCCAGTGCTTGGCAGTGCAGCACACACTGTGTTAAGGGGCTTCCACTGCCCACAGGGAAATGTGCTCTGATGAACCCCGACCTGGTACTGGTAGGGGATTATCTGGCCCCACAGCAGAATGTCACCCCAGGTTGGGTGTCAGCAAATCCTAGAAAGGAAAAGCTGGGTAACAGCAACCTGAGTGCAGAGTTACATACACTCATCAACAGGAAATGATGAGGATTCGACCCAGAACCCTCTCCTGGAACCTCCAAGTCTTTGTTGAACACTTCATAGCAGAAAGTAGGGAGGATGCTGCTCATCCAAGCAATGGCAGATGTGTGCTGTCCCTCTGTGCATTAAAGGAAAAACAGCAGAGACAGAACCATGACTCTGTAACTTACTGGGCTGGTACAGGAGAGGGACAGTGCGGCTCCCAAGCCCTGAAATGCTGTAAAAAGGAGGTTGGACCTACTGGGTGTGCTGTTAATGCACTGACACTTCAGTCTAGTGTCATGAGCAAGAGCTCATGAAAAAATAATGAAGAACATAAGGCTTGCCTCTATGAGAGGTGCATTTAGACATTTAAATCTGTACAGTTAGAGCACACAATTCAAAATTAGCTGAACTGCAGACATTTAGCCAGACTTTTTTTGCCTACTGGCACATCCAAGCAGCCCTTTGACTTCAGGAGGACATGCATCAATGCAAACTATATTCCACTGACTCTAAAATATAGCTTTAAAAAACGTGGTCATTTTTGTCCCCCATTTTTATTTGCTCCTCACTCTGTGAGGGCACATTTCTCAACTGACTTTTCTTGGTATAACTTCTTTGAACTAAACACACAGCCTATAGCCAGCTGCACAGGCTGGGATTTGAGAATTTTTGTGTGGGTTTGTTCCTCATTTTGCAAAAAAAGCAAATGAGTTTAGACAGAGAGTGGGCTAAGGAATGAAGAATGTGGTTACCTTGGTACACATTAAGGTGCTAGACCTGTGGGTTTTTTAAAGCAACACAGAATGTACAGCTTTATTTCTTTAGTTGAATTGTGCTGAAACCCTCTGGCAAAGACATAATTTTTTATTGACATTTTGTTTGTTTTCTCTTGCAGCAAACAAGACAGTGCTGCATTTGCTCATTGTGGAGCTAATCGACTCCTTGTCGGCTGGATCTGAACTAAATTTTGAAGCAAATCCCTATCTTCAGGGTTTTTCTCGGAATGATGATTCCAGGGCATGTCTGCTCTTCTGCAGTCATGTGCCTGCCTGCTGCTATTACTGCATTTATCAAGAACATGTCATGTTACCTCTGGTTAATTTAAAGAAATCACAGCAGTCCTGACACAAGTTGCCACCCACTTTATAATCCGTATAGATGCAATTAGAATTGATTGAGCCACTGCAAACAACCAAGGGCAAAATAAAGGTTTCCCAGTATATACTAATTGAGATGATCTATAAATATGGATTAGGTTAAAAGGCCGTTGAGGTGCCTGTGTGCATCGCCTGTGTCTGCTAATGCTGTCAGGCTTTGAAAGGCTGGCTGCAGTTTGGGGGCACAGGGACAAGGCACTGGTGTTTCAGGATCCCTGGGAGCAGCAGAGATCGGCAGCTCCACATCCAGGACATGCCATCGAGCTGGGAACAGAGCAGGAAAGGTCTCTCTTAAGGCAAAGAACGAGGCTGCTCTTTTTCATTGCCCTCCTTGCTTGAAGGAACAAGAGGTTTATGTATTCATTTATTTATTTATTTTCAATCCAGAGTTTACTATCATCTTGAGGGTTTGGGGCTTTTTCTGCCTCAGAAGTGCACCTGCCCCCTGGCTCACCATAACCTATTTGGCTTTAATGGAGCAGGTACTATCCATTAAACATATGACAACTCATTATCGGTGCTCCAGCTGGGAGAGCGCTGTGGAAACTTTACCATGAATATAAACTCCAATTTAAAAATGAAATTGCTTTGCCTTTTTCTCTGCCCCTCCCTGTGCCCCCAGGAGACATGTAAGATCACACTTGGCGTGACTGTTTCACATGGCCTTTGTAGAGCAGGGAAGGAGGAAAAGTGGCGTGATGGGGATGCAGAGCCAACCTCTGCTGAATTTGCTGTTTTCTTAGGACTTGAAATCTACTGGGTAGCTTGGATTGTAGTCTGTGAACTGCTGGCTAAATGCTCTGAATTATACCTGTTGTTTGACTCTGTTTCTGCAGGCCCTACACAGGGGACCTGGACATTTGGCCTCGAGTCTGCAACTTTGCAGTTGCAAAACTGTAAATTCAGGCTGCCTAAAGCAGACAGCAAGAGTCCCCCACTCCTGTCTGTCATCACTGCTAGTGATCTTCTACTGATCTGCTCCCTGTTTTGTCTCCTCCACGTCCCATTCCCTCTTAGTCTTGGCACAATTACTCCTAAAGCATCCTGCTGGTCCTTTTGGCAGCCCTCCTGTGTCCTTACAACAAGCACAGAGTACTTGGCTTTAACACACTCGACCATATGGTGAGAAACTCAAAATCATTTTTTAGAAAAATAAACTGGAATCTGTCTGTGCAGGACATAGAGGGAAGGGGACTTTGGTGGAGTGAGTGAACCTGATATCTCCAAATGATTTATCTCACAAATTCACTTAATTTCCTTTTTTTTTTTTTTTTTAACTTCCTCCAACCTCAGTACTTGAAGGCATTCCTGAGCCAGAGGATCTGCTGAAGGCAGAGCTGATCAGTGACACAACTCAAAGTAGAGAAAATAGACACAGATTTGGATGACTGGAGGGGCAAGAGGAACAAGAAAGAATAAATAACATTAGATTATAGATTTCCCACTGAAATAGCTTTAGGAGCCTCCTTTACAGTAGAAATACCCCAAACAGCATCCTCAGTAATTCCATGTAAGATCTGATCTCGTATAGATCCAGGTTTTGAAAAGGTCAGAGAATCTGTGCTTTTAAACAATTTACATTCTATCAGTTATGCTCATTTGGACACAGTATCAAAGAAAACACATGATCCTGATTTCCTTTTGTGGTTTTACTTGCATGCACAGAACTTAGGCCAAAATTAATAAATAAATGGAAATAGAAAAATGAATAAACTAGTGGCATATGCTGCTTTTATAAACTGCTAAACAAAACATCTTTGCTGGCAGCTGTCCCGTGATTATTTTTTTATTTTGAGTTGTAGTAATGAATTTTGAGAGTCATAATACAGGAATGAACATGTTTCACTTTGATTATACAAAAGAAGAGCAAGTGACTCCATTCAAGACTCTGAAAACCCAAAAGCAACTTTCCCTTGTTGTGTAGATGAGCACTGATTTAGGAAATACAGGGATTGCTGTGTCCTTGTTCTCACGATATAAAGATTTAGTGGTTGATGCCAGATTTGTGCAAATGCTTTTCAGAATGACACAAGCAAATTGCACACAAGATCATGGACAGATTTTTATGTACATGGGCTCCAGTTTCTACATCTGGAGTGTATGATACAGAGGGGCCCAAATCATTACTGAGGAAATTACACACAAAGAGGTATGAAAACTATCAGTCATTCAAAAAGCTTCTGGAGTAGCAAATTACTTTCCAGGGCAATCTTTCTGACAAGGGCTTTTTTTTTTTTTTTTCCAGGGGGGAGAGGGTGGACTTTGTTGTTGGTGGTGAGGGAGCATGGTTGGAAGAACAAAAGTTTAAAGAAATCTCCGTTGAAACATATTCCTCTCTTCTGCTGACAACTCCTGGCTAAGTCTGATGTATGTTTTATTTTAAATGTTAAGGCAAGAATACTATTCCTTCATTTTAGAAGATTTCTGGCAGCTTTTTCATTGTTTACAGTAACAGAAATCGTTCTTTTAGGAGTTCTAATTCTTCTGTCATACTCTCAAAATGCCTTTACTTGGCAGAGAAAAATGTATTTAAATAATAAAGTGGTGACAAACTGACAAAAGCTGGAAATCAAAGCTAAATGACAATTGCCTGCACAGAGCAACAGTAGTGTCACTGAGACAGAAAGCCTTAAAACCCAAACAACAGGAATCTGCATTGTAAATACAATTCTAACTACAGTGGAGTGTCACTACCTGCCCCTGTAATTAATTTTCTTCTCTACCCTCATGCCTCAGTCATCTAGACATTATACATCAGATCATCAGTAGCAAATCATTCCTGAGACTTTTCTCCTAGACAATATTGTTCCCAAGCTTTCTCTTTCATTCCTGTAGCACGTTCTAGTTACCATATGAATGAACAAAGCTCCTCAACAAAAAATACGAGCCCGACCTTCTCCCAGTGTATCAATGGGCAATACAGAATAACTACAGCATTTCAGTGGAATTATTCCAGGCTCACAGTTTGGACCAAAGGGAGTTTTGCCTTTATACCATAAAGTGTGGGCATAAAGTCTGAGACACGTTTACCCGCCCGTGGGGTTCTCATGTTATAGGCAAAAGTAGCAAGGTTACTTGCTACACACCACGATTTCCATCCAACTTATGCCTTAAAAGTGAAATTACCAAAGAACATGGAATTCATTAATTTCCAGGAGACGAGTCAGTAACAGCTGTGTCTAGAAGCAGGTTGCCTCAAACTTTAAAAATGTATTCCTTCTACCCATGGCATTTGTTCACAATTTATCACTGCCTATTAGCTAATAACAAGAGCAGGTTGGAGGTGGTTTAGTTTCTGCTTAAGAAACGATGCCACCAAATGTTAGCAGCAGAAATCAGTGAGTTTGCTCTTCTGCTGGGAACTGTGTGGAATCAAGCTCCTGTTGAGCGAGATAAGGGCTGCATTAGCTCTCAGCAGTTGTCTCTTGGTGTTTGCATTACAGAAGCAGCACGTTATGCTGGAAGGTAAATGCCTGACTCAGTTTATTTGCTGCCTTGTCAGAAAGAAGAACTTCTGAAAACTTAATAGGATCATTCATGTATCCAGCAAATTTAAGATGTCCAAAGTTATGAATATTAATAGTGGGCAGATGGAAGCACTTGTGCACGTTAAGAAGAATGGTAAAGATATTCAGAGCAACATGCTTGTTTTGATCTTACTGAACAAGAAAACAGGTGTGGCTGTAAAACATTCCCTCTTCTCCCAGCAGTGTCCTGGGCACTGACTGCAGAGCTGGGCACTCAGATGATGCCTGTGCCAGTGCAGACTCCTGCTGGAGCCTGCAGACACTGGCAGCCCCAAAATGATTTCTGCATTTGGATGGCTCAGGGCTGCTCTGGCAGGGAAGAAAAAGGTTTCTTTCTGAAAATTGTCAGTGTGGGTCTGATCCCAGGACTGTATCCATAGATATTTCTGTTACAACTGCTTGGCACGTACTGAGCAGGTTTTGGCAGGTATCAGGCAAGAGTGAATGCCTGGACCTGACAATATATCAGGTGAGCTCTGGCCTAGGGTAATTTTGCCTAATTCAGCATTTTGTGTATTAATGTTTTTATTGTTAAACACACAGACTTTGTCTGAAAACAGTTTAAACATCTGTAACTCTGTAAGAGAAAATGTGAATGAAAAGCAGCACAGGAAGGTCAATTTTTCTTTCTACTTCTAAATGATGGCTTTTACAATAGCTGTTAGATTACTGAGAGTCTGAAGTTCTCTGGATTCTGAACTGTGCATATTTTAAAGATATAAATAGTCTTTTGTTCAAAGTGGCTGTGTTTTACAGACTGGATACAGACACTTCTGCTTGTCTTAGTGCAGAAGTTTCTCCTGATTTAGTATCTATAAAATTCCTTTCTTATATCCTTTTCCAATAGAGTGCTACTTCATTTTTAACAGCTTCATTTACAGTGAATGCAGACACAATAACTGTACTATTTCTATAACAAATAATAAAACTTACCTTGTTTGATAGGCTGCTGATTAGAGAAGGTGAGAGGAGTAACAAGGAATTTGGTTTCAGCTACCTGTACCCAGTGGTGCAGGATTTTTATTGTCCAGACACCGGGTCGCAGGGGCAAATTCAGAGGTGGTTTGTAGTGAGTAAACTCGGCACTGGATTCAATAAGAATATCATAAGTTGCTGCAATTACATTAATAGGATCCACCCAGATGACAGTCACGGTGACGTTGGGGCCTTTTCCCCATTTCTGCATGCCAACTGGCTCATCTGTTGGCCCGAGGAGTCCTCCAAAATTCCGGAAAAGCCTCTCCTTGGCGTCCCATTCGGTGCCAATCTGAAATGGAAGAACACACTGCTGCTGGCATCACCTCTGTGAGCATCTCAGACCCTTGTGTCAAATAAGGGCTCTCAGGAGACACAAACCCTGTTTCTCTAATGACATGAATTATACATACATATAAAAGCTGACAGCAACATGACCTAAGATCATAAAGTGTACACAAATTGTGCGACAACCTCGAATGCAAGGCTTGCTTTTTTGGTCCACTTCCGATTGATAAAAAGGTTTCCTTTATCTTAAGAGTGACGTAACAGGCTATAGCAGTTCTCTCTTCCTTCCATGAAAGCAGTCAATGAGGGACTAAGCCTAGTGACTGAACACAGGCTATGCATAGCAAAAATGTGACCCATCATCTCCTGGGTCATGAAAATGTATTACACATCTGAGAGATGGAACCTGCAGTACAGACCTAACCAGCTACTGCTCAGACCAGGAAAGAAGCTTTTGCTGCTGGCTTTAGGACAAGTCACATCAGGTCCTTTACTACAATCCATCTGTGAGATGCTGTCTCCTTGCACTGCCTTCCTTCCTGATGTGGGAAGTTATTTCTTGTAATCTCTTTTCTTACTGTCATTACAGTGACATTAGTGACATTGTTTTTTATTTATTCACTAAGGAACAGTAAACCAGCTGATTCACAATCTAGTGTAAATATTTAATGGACTTTTCTTTTTCCTAGTAGCTTTCATATTTCAGTACTCTTTATATGAATTTCAGTGGTTCAACCATAACCTGCAGAATGACACAAATTTACAAGCTATTGCCATTAAACCCCTCACAGTCCTTCAGGTCTTCTTTTGACTTAATCTCCAGATAGTGTAGATCACCAAAGAGTTGATCTGTTTCCTGTACAGAAACCATGTGATTCTCTCAAGTGGCCTCCGGAGAACCATGCACATCCAGGTGGGATCCCCACTTTCAGAATATATGTGGATATTGCAGATTCCACCAACACAGAGCTGTCCTTGTCCCTAAGTTTCACCTCACAGGGGCATGGTCAGAACTTGCTTTCCTGAAAGCATTGTGTAGCTCAGTTGCTTCAGAGATTTTTCTTCTTGATTTCATCTAATTTCATAAGTGATTCCAATATAATGCCAAAATCCCCACAAATCCCGAAAATGTAACAATTACCTCACACCTATTACTACTGATACCTGTACTGGAAACTCTCCAGTCTCCAGTCCCTTCTAAATAAATCCTTGTGGTTGGCAGACAAATTACAGGAGGACTGCAAGCAAAAAGCTACAAGGTCAGTAAAATAAAACCCTACCACCCTAAATCCATCTGTCATCATATGAATTCCTCCTACCGGACTATGACACTGCAGAATATGAGACAAAATGAGCCTTCCACTACTCTGCAATCAACACAGCATTTCTGGTACTTCAGAGGTATTTCACCCAGCACACCAGCTAATCAAACCAGACAGCGTAGCCCAGATATCAGACCCAGGCATCGACTGCCTCGAGGAGCTGTCAGTGTGTACTCTCCTGACAAGACTGACTGAATATGTATGGAAATAAGCTGAGAAAGAAAATTTCCTGACCAGATCTTATTATCTACTCTGCCAACCTTCACTGAGTGCAGCCATGTCACACCTACCACTGCTCAAGAGACCTGGAAATAATAAAGCCACAAAATGTGAAACAAATCCACACCCTCCTGGGTGCAGAAAAGCCTATAAGGAAGCTCTCTGCACTTCATTCAATATTTCTTACTGAAGAACTCCTTGAAGAAAACTTACTTCATCCTCGAAAATTAAACATTCATTCCTGACATCCAACTATTTCCCCTCTCTTTAGCCTTTCATCCCTGGGTAAAGAAATCAGAAAGTTACAGTCCCCTTGCTCCAGCCTCCAGGTGACACTGCTCAATACCAGGTTGCACAAAAGATGTTGATACATGTTCACGTGCACAAAGGTTTATTTATTAGAGTGCTCTGCAGAAGAGTTAAGGTTGCTTTTGGGGAAAACATATAACAAAATCATTGTCTGGTTGCTAAGCTTTGTGCAAGCATGGTATTGGGCTCCCTTAGCAAACCAAAAGTTACAGCCAAAAGGCAGGGGAAGAGAGGAATAAAGGACAACCACGAGAGCCCATCACACCACTGTCAGGGTGTGCAGGGCCATGAAACAACAGCACAGAACCAAAAGGAGGACACAGGGCAACAAAAAGGAGGACACTCATTAACACAAAGGCACCCAGGCACCCCAAACCCCACGTGCCCCAAAGCCAGGGCTCACACCAAGGCTCCACAGGCACCTCAGGGAAGGGATAGGCAGGGAGCTGTACGCATCTACTCACAGGATCTGCCCTTTATGTCTGCTTTCCAGCTGGGGACACACTTTCCCATGCTGCTCAGCTTGCAGTACAGCTGCTTTTAGAAGCACAGTATTTTATAGGGAATTTTCCTTAAAGCACTGGTTAGAGGTTCATACCTCTTCCCTTGAACTTTACACAGCTGAGTTCCCAGGACCGAGATGTCTGATTTTACAGGGCAAGAGATACTACAGTTCTATAATAATTTTCACAGCCCCTTAAAACATTGTGAGTAGGCTTTCACTTTCAAATGGAATACACAAAGTATGGGATGGAATCAAGCAGTAATGAAAATCTGATAAATTATGAAGGAATGTGGCAAAGAAACTGACATTTTCCACATCATTATTTTAATCACCACTAGTTTGGGCTTCAAGAGCAAGCACTGTGCACAGGGTTTGTTTGGAAAGCTGGAAATCTCTCATTGGCTTAAAACTTCTGTTTCTATCTCTGTTTGGTCCCAAGATAAAATTTTCACAAGACAAATTATGCCTTGATTATGGGTTTGTGTCTCATTGCTCACCACAAACAGGACCATTAGGTTCACACAATGCACACTAATTGCCTGCCACCTAGTTTATTTTATTTTCTGTGATGCATCACAAGTCTTAACAAGACCAGAAATGAACTTAGTGTTCATCTGATAGACAGTGAGCTGAGACTTTTGGTGCTGTACAGCAAATAAATCTCCTGCCCTCCTTGGAAAAGTTGCCTGAGCCCAGGCTGGCAGGACACATACTGTGCACATTGTGCACAAGCCAATTTTAGGAGGTGTGGGAGTTTCACACTTGGAAATCATCTTTCTCGGATTTCCTCTAAGTTTATTTTATTTTACTGAGCCCAAGGCTGAGTGCAGAACACTGTCATTAACCCTGCCAGCCGTGGGGCAGCCCAGCTGGCCCATCTCTCTCCATGGTGTGCGGTGAAATCGGCTCCTCGGGAGGCGAAGTCTGAGAAGCAAAGCAGAGGAGCAGAGGGCAGGAAGCAGTGACTGGAGAGATCCCACCACCTCTGCTGCAATCTCAGTTGTGCCTCAAGGTCACAAATACGCTCGGGAGCACACTCAATGCAGCATATTTGTGCTCTTCCTGCTGGCCCCACTGGTGTGAGAAGGCAGAAAGCTCCCAGATAAAATAGCCCCATTCAGTTTTTAAATTCCTGCCAGATCATGGGGTGAAAGTTGTTGAAGAACCAGTAGCTCTATGTCCCAATAAGCACAAATCTCAGTTCTCATTTCTGTGAACGTTAATGCTCCCCCATCTTAGCTAAACTGCTAAGTTTGTTTTCCACTCGCTGGACTTCGACAAAGCAGTGGCATTTTAATAAGCTGTAGCAGATCAGAGCTTTCTAGCCACACTAAAGCTGAAGAAGTTAATGCTGGATTTATACCAGGGTAACTGAGAGAATAATTTGGCTCAGAGACAGAGATCCCTGCAGGTCAAGGGAAGGTAGAAAGTAAAATAAACCATTAAGAAAAGATTAAATTATTTATTTTGTACCTCCTGATCTTTTAAAATAAGAATCATCTCTAAAAGAGGACAATTAAGGGGTTTAGTTGAGAACATATAATGGAAACAAGTATGCAGCCACCAAAACTCTTTTTGTGAGTTTCAAACAGAAGAAAATATTTCCTTATCCTGAAAAAAGCTCACTGGTGATTAAATTCTTCCCATGCTTTGCCCTCACATGGCTGCCCTGCAGCAGCAGTTCCTGTGGGGCTGCTCACAGACCAGCCATGGCCCATGCTTCGCTGAGGACTGGTCTGGGGGAGAAAAGGTGCCCTGTGGCCAGAAGGGATCTGGCAAGTGGCCAGTGAGTAAATTCTGGTCTCAGGTTAACTTCCTCCCTACAACTGCAGTGAGGTCAGATGTATTCTTTCTAATTATTTTTGTTTGAGTTCTAGAATACCAAGATCAATATATTCCTTTCTATCATACTTTCTATCAAACTGTCCCTGCTGCCAGCCCAGTTGCATTCTAAAAGAGGACCCAGAGCAGACATCAGGTTGAAAGTGAGATTAAAAGTACTAAATAAACAGCAGAAACACTCCTACAAATCACAAGAATTAAGGCTTGTATGACCATTTATCACTGCATGAAATGGCAAGCCTACCATCAGACACATTGATAAATGGAGCACACTTTCCATCCATCTCTTTAATGGCACATTAGTGTCATGGATTTGCCATGCACACCAAAACACTGAATCCCACCTAGGCGTTTCTTAATTGCCCAAGGAGATGGTAATTTATGGACTTAGCCATAATGACTAGAACACATTTGTTCAATCAATTTTATACCTTAATTGAAATTTGTGGCTTAACAAGAAAAATCATGAAATTAACTGCTCAGGCAGTTGTATCTTTAAAACAGAACACAGATGTCGGGTTCTATTAGTGGTCAACTTTCCTGATATATTTTAGGGTACATTTTTTATACTCTATGTCAGTTGATGAGAAATATTACTAGAAAAAAGGACAGGATTTGGAGGAAATCTGAGTCACCACTGTGAGAGTTTTCTCTGCTGTGTTACAACATCAATATTCTGCTCACACGTGACATCGATACCTATCACTAATTTTATGAGATTTTTTTCAGTATAATCTGGAGATAAATGTTTAAAGACATCAACATTCACATCTGCAGTTGCAGAAACAAGACATTTTCCCAGGTGCCTTTCACAGCACTAACAACAATGATGGTTGCAAACCTTTTAAGTAAGTTACTGAGCCCTTTTTACAACAGCAAAGGCCTTCAATTTGTTCTTAAAGCCGAAAGGAGTGAGGGAACTCTGAGTAATGTAAGAAGTGAGGGTTGACCACAGGTCTGACCTGGCAACAGTATCTCCTGTGAAGACGATGTGCATTGTGCTAGACAGCCACTCTCACCTAAAATTTACATGGAATACAGTTTGCAAAGGCTGCTGAATTGGTATGCAATCTCTTGATGCACTTACCTCTGAGAACTGCAACCTTCCAAAATCACTTGGTGGACTTGCGACCTTGAAGACTTTCTTGGGCATCACCCATGTTTCCAAAGTTTCTAGTTTACTGACAGCCAAATTGGTTGCGTGGTGTCTGATCAGGAAGCCTTGGAAACGGTCAGCAAGGAAGTAAAGATGGACGGAAACTGGATGGCCCATGGGATAGTATCTGTAAAACAGCACATGCACACACTCATCAGTTACACAAGAGAGACATGAAATCTCCATTTACTTGGAGCTAATGGCTTAAGAAGCATTCATTTTAACTAGAACATCCACCACTGTACATTAAGAGATTTCAAATGTGTTCACGACTCATTATCAAATATTCTTAGGCTGTTCGATTACCCCGAAACGTAAAAGAAACGTTCCTAAGAATATGTGCTCATTTAGAGCATATCCACAGCTCTAAGCTCTTTAGGAGGTCTCTCTGTGTGCCAGGGAACTCCCCTCCCTAAGCACCTCTTCTGGGTGGGAAGTGCCACCCAGAGCTACGCACAGATCATTAGGCTGTGCAGCACTGTTTGCTCAGATAAACTGTAGGATAAAGGATATCCCAGCAACGTGCCTGTGCTTCAGCTGCTGCCCTTCCTGCCCCAGCAGGGTCAGTGCCTGCCCACGTGGGAGAGCATGGAATGCTGCAAGGCTGAGTATCAGCCCCGAACCCCCTTCATTCCCAAACCCCTGCCCCAAGGGCATGGCTCTTCAGGGTGGCACTGCAGCCAAGGACATCAGGATCCAGTCCCCATTTTCCTGTATTTTAAAAAATAAACTTCACATTCCCTAAAGACTTGAGATTCAAAAAAACCCAAACTGATAAAAGGACAAACAACCAGGCAAAACCTATCCTTGGGACATCTGGGGGCATTTGGTTGCAGTTCAGATTTAAAGACACTGTGTTCACAGCTTCAAATAATTAACCTGTATGGTCAATTGTCTGCTACAGTCTCAGAAACACCTGTAATGATGTTTGAGTACATATGGATCCATAAATAATTAAAAATGTGTTATTCGTAGCTCGGAAATCAAATATTTTACTAGTTTGCAGCATTGACATTAACTGCAAAACAAGTTGAACCACCCAGTATCACACCTTCCCAGGAAGTCAGCTAAGTCTGATTCCCTGTGCTTGTTACCACAGCTCAAGACATGAGCAGTAAGAAGAGCTGACCAGTGAAGACTTTCCACTGCACGAGGCCAGAAACACCCAGAAGGAAGTCTCTAGAGCTTGAGAAATAAACATAGGAAGACAAGGTAAAAACACTGATGGACTGAGCAAAAACACAGCAAAGCTATGCAGCCAATACCACAAACAACCTGACTTCTGTTCTGAGTACTGAGACCTCCTGTTTTATATGTGTACAGCAGCAAATATTTACAATATCCTTGAAATAGTCTGAGTAAATTGCCTCTTGGCAGCAGTGAGTAAAAATGCCTAGAGATGGAAGAAATAAATTAAATCTCAATCACACATTAATGTTGCTCTGACAGAAGATGCTGATACGCAATCTCATTTGGTACCTGAGCAGTCTGTGGGGGGCACAGCTTTCTGGGGCTGTGGGCTGGCCCCTTAGTGTGTAAGGCAGCTTCTCTTACAAACATCTCCCGTGCTGCTGCAGGAGGCAGCAGGGACTGACTCCAAATGCGATCTGAAGCAGTAGCAGCTTTCCTCACAGTGCCAGCAGCGGCGTGAAACGAGCTGGGGTGGTGACTGAGTTGGTGCTGCTGTAGCCCCAGCAGCAAAGGAACACTGTCAAGGTGCTCAGCCCAAATACAGCCCTACCATTACTGTGTTAGAGACACGCAAAATCACTGGAGGGAAAGAGGAAAGGTATAGAGGTATAGAGGCATACACCTAGAAAGACAACGTAGTATCGAAGAGATGTGAATCATAAACCTGAGGAATATCCACCTTTCTGTGATTTAAACTGAATGCTGACTCACAGTGTTTTGAGGGGGCTCAGGTAGGTATGAAAATGAAGCCTCCACTCCACATCACAATGCAATCCCTCCCTGCACTGTTTCATGAGGCTCCAGCCTGCTGTAAAGGAGCCATGCTTTATTCCAGGGACAGCTGCAATCAGCAGTGGGTGACATGATGTCCCTATCTATAATCTGAGCAAGCTTAAAAAGCACCTTGAGCTCCTGTGCAATGGAAAGTTCCTCAGAAAAGATATTGATAATTGATGTAAATCAGCGTCAGAACACTGGCAAAAGGAAAAGGGACAAAAGTAATTGTCAAATTATTTCAGTGCTGGTTACACATAGCCCCCATCCTCTCTGTTGGCTTCACTTTGCAGGACAAATGACCCAGCCCTTCTTTAGGTCTGCCTTTATTTCATTTAAGGAAGGCATGCTACTAGTGATTATTTCTATCTAATTGTTATTGATCTTTTATTGCTTTGCACCGGTAACCTTCACTGACAAAACTCTAATAGGAATCTGGAGCACTTATTGCCACATCTTTCTAAATGGGACATTGCTCAGCACTTCCATGACTAATTTAGGAAGGTCAAGGCACATTTGGTTCCCTCTTGAGAACACAAGAGGGGTAACGTCCATCCATCAAAGCACACAGAGTGTTTTAAGTGTTGCTGACTTAGGTTGTGTTTTCTGTTAGGAAAAAAAAAAAAAGGAAGGGTCCAGAAACACATTCTGAACAATGAACTAAGAGATGGTAAAGCAAGACTTTAAAAGATGAACCCTCTCTGCTTTGAATGTAAACAGCTTCAGATGTGTTTGCAGGCAGTGAACATCTACTGTGAAGAGAGCCTTTCCTATGCAAGTCTAACTCAGGGAATTCTTGTTTCAAATCTCTTTTAGACTGAATTCTTCTTTGATGGGCTTATAGGTGAAAAAGGAACCTAGAATATAGGGAAAATTTCCCTTTGGAGAATAAGGACCTTCATTTGATATGTATATATATATTTATAAATTATATTTATATATGAATACATTTTATGTATTTGCTGCTAATAGATCATACCAGTTGCAGCACTTTTGGCATAGACAGCTGCGCCAAGCAGGCAAACTGAGCCAAACAAGCATCTCTGTGTACTCCATGTGTGCTCCCAGGGGAACAAACAAGCAAGGACCATTAACCTGCCTGTGTTCAGATTAGTTCTGAAATCCTGTCCTCTGCTCTTGGTAAGCATAATAGAGGTGAACATGACCTCTGCTGCAATCACACGGAGGGTTTAGGAGCCGTGGCTATAATACACTTGCTGAAATTAATCAAAGAAAACGCAGCAGTGAGGGTAGCACTGCCCAACTGGATCCTGTCAGTCTTCATCAGGCTGGAAAGCACCTCCTTAAAAGTGCAGCAAACAGGTCACATAATGTCAACCCAGAATAACCAACGCTTTATTACGGACATAAATACTCCTGGAAATAAGTGCTGTGCACTTGCAGCTGCCTGGCCCTGTTTGTGAGGGCGGGTTCCAGCCAGCGCAGCCGAGCAGGGCGAACATCCCCGGGAGCTCGGCGGCCCAGCCGGTGTCCCCTGAGACACCCCCAAAAGAAAAGGCAGGCCCAGGCTTACCGGCAGCTGCTGTCTCCGGCAGCGTGGAGGGAGGTCTCGGCTCTGCGCAGGCCCAGGCGGGAGAACGCGTGGTACATGGTGAGGGCGACGTCGCTGAGGGTGTGCACCCCGTCGGGCTCGTCGTACACGTTCTCCCAGTAGGCCCGCAGGCCGGGCGTGCCAGAGGGGTAGTTGCCGTACAAGTAATAGTCCAGCTGGCCGATTATCTCTTGGTTCACTACAGCTTCAAACTTGCGGGCGAAGAAAGTTGGCCTGGCGGTCTGCTGTTGGGATACGACAGGGGGAAGACGCTGAGTGAGTTCCCATTTTTGGCCGTGACACTTTGTCTTAATCAGTGGGTTGGAGCTGAGGACACGAACTGGTTCTCTCCACGGGCAAAGATGACTTATAGGGTCACCTTTGTGCCCGTTCATTGTTAAGAGTGATGTTAAAGTTCAGATAAAAATTACATAGTTACACGACAAAAACACAGCTGCATCAATCCCTTCCTACCAACAGCCTCCCTCTGCTGCCTTGCTCTGAAGGCTCTCCAAGTGCCAGAGTGGTGGGGAATGCTTTCTAAACCCCCGTGTTAGCTTGGAGACAGTGCAGCACTGGCACAGGTTTAGGCAGGGAACAAACCATCGTGTGGCACAGGGGTTCAGAAGAGGCAGAACAGCGTTTTCTGTATATGGATTTGCTGATAGGAGGTGGTAAGAGGACTCTGGGAGAGGTGCCATCTATGGCTGAGGTTTCTCAACTTCTCAGTGGTCCTGCACAGGTTTTCCGCTCTGCAGTTGATGCAATCTTGAGCATATTACTGCTTTATATGCTACTCAACTACGATAAGCTTTAAAAAAGTCTTTGTTTTGCCTTGCTCATGTTTGAGCACGGGTTCTGAGGTGCCAAGGAGTTCAAGGGTGCCCCAGATGGCTGGAAAATTCTTTTGAGGATGCTCAGTTTTACTCTGAGACGGTACATCCTGTGGGCTCTCTGACCCGTGCCTCTGCAGCTCTCTTTGTGCCTCCGTGAGAACTGTGAGCCAGCCTTCTGGTGCCCTGTGTTTGTGTCAGGGGCTCTCTCACCAGGCAAGTGTCAGAAACTGCCTTTACATCTATTCTAATTTTGTGCTTTCCCTTCCAGCTCAGTTTACTTGATTGTTTTCTGAAATATCGTTGTGGGTTCACAGCCTGCAGCAGGTCAGGCCCTGCAGTCTGGCAGAAGTTTTTCAAGACTTGCCATTTATTCTGTGCCAGAGACTTTCCTGGGATTGGGGGTAGGGGCAGCAGAGCCTCTCTTGGATAACATCTCATTTGCTCTTTTTGTGAGTGCCTGTGTCACTGACTTCAAGCGTGCCTGGTAGGCAACACATTACAGTAAAGATCTCTGTCTCAGAGCAGTCATCATTTCTGTGCTGCAGGGTAACACATTCCCCATCCCACACAAAGCCTGAACAAACATGCTTTATGCAGGGAAGCCCAAGGAGCTGCAGGGATGGCATTGCAAATCTGGTGACCTTGAAACAAGCGGCTGTTCATTCTTAATAAAAGATACACAGGCCAGATACACCCTTGAGACTGGGTGCACCCTTAAGCACAGGATTTGCTCTCATGTCTGGTTTAGGAAACTATCACAAAGGAACCGATTAAACTTTTTAAGGCAGTACTGCCAAAACTGGGTGATCAAAACCTCATGACTAACGCTCCCAAAACCACAAAATGAACTTTAATATAAACATGCTGATGAATACGATCATGAAAATGGATTTGCCTTGTGCTATGTAAATCTCTAGCAGGCACACTAGTCAACTTCTAAGGTTTTTTTAAAGATGATAAACTTTGCTTAACACTGAAAGCCAGGAGTTTAATGAAATCATGAAAGCACCTGAGCTGGAACTTTGCAACAAATTCACAAGAGTTACCAAGTACTAGTGCTACCATGAGAGAGATGTCAAGCTTCCCACCTTTCTCGCCCAGCAGATTTCCAATGCCAAGTAGTCCAAGGAGTTGCTTTGTGACCTTACCGTGTAAGTAGTATGTCTCAAGGGCCAAAACACAGGAGAACCAATCTTTTGTTCTCCTGAAATTAAGATCAGAGCTTCCTCACATCTCTTTCTCCACCCGACTGATGGAGTAAAAGCTTCCCTTCCCATTCCCTGCTGCAGCCATGCAGCCAGTTGGCTCTCCACACCCCAGCAGAGGGGGAAGAGCCTCTTTGAGGTTATGTTCAGTTACCTGGAAACGGTGAAAGTCTGCTGGTTTGAAGTCATTAGGTGAACAGCCACACCAGTCAACAATGTGCTTGTATTGACACTTGCAACCGAGTTTACGATTCCAGTTCGTGATGCGCAAGTTGTTGTCCACCATGGAGTCACAGTACGGGCTATTCTCCAGAACAGTGTGAAAGAAGGACTGCAAGAAAGACAGAGCAGATCACTGTATTTAGCTCCCCTAACCTCCATTTTCTCCTTCACTTCAGTCCATGGACCCAAACCCAATGCAGGTGACTTATCTTCTTTCGAAATGACAGAATTAACAAGCTCTGTTGTTCTGCCATATATGAAATGTGCTCTGTGTGTATGGATTCCACAGAGCATGAAAAAGTTACAAACTGTAATAACACACAGCTGAGGCCTTGCTCCAATAATCTGGTACAGAAAAATTGCACTTTTGCAATGACCAGCTTTTTTGTGCACTGGGACTCCAAAGGACTCCAGGAAAGGCCCCAGTGTCAGCAATTATTTTATTTATATTTAAGCTGTATGAGCAATTCTAAGAAATTCCCATTATTTCTTGTCTGTAAGTTACTGTCTGGTCTAACAGATTTAAGACTATTTTCCTGAGCAATGTGCTAATAATACGTCTCAAGTTGTTTCCTAAGATAATTCTCAAAACGACACCATCACCCCAGGTACTATGAAAAATATACAGTCCCAGACAGCTCTTCTGTGGGTGTCTCTACCACCAGCACTCTGAAATGCATTGCTAGTTGAGTGGCCTTGTTCTAAAATACACAGTTCACCCTAGGCACCAAAAGGACATTCTCTCTCCTGAATTTACGTCTGAAATCATAAGTCTTTATTTGCTGACTCATGGCAGCGTGGAATTCCTGTCCGGCTATCTTAATTATATCATCATAATATCAGCTATTATATAAATCATGTGTAATGGGGACTGATATGGCAGGTTAACAGGTCAGTGAAAGCAGGGTGGTTTTAAGAAACCAGCTATGCATCTTGCAAAGAAAACCTTGTAGGAAAAAGCTATGGAATATCATCAAATTTAGCCCTGGAAGAGACCATTTTTGGAGCAGTGACTTCTCTTTAAAATCAGCAATAGTGAGACCTATAAATAACCAGTACAACATTAGCATGGCTGGCCCCCAAATAATCCCCCTACCCTTTTTAATGTTAAATGACAGCCCAGTGAATATGGATTTTATGCTTGAACTGTTTGGTTAAACCCATAAAGGCATACATTCTCATTCAAGCGAGAGGGGGAAAAAAACCTACCCAATTACCCATTGCTCTGTATCCTTTTAAAGCAATACAGAAATTTCTCTAGATAATGGATAAAAAGGTTATCAGAGTTGAGAGAAAAGGTGATTTTTAACAGAAATGGGATTAAAAGAAGATTATTCAACATGTGTGTGGAATAATAAACCCCTCTCAAAAGATGACAGTGTCTGTGCTCCACCACAAGCTAATGAGCCTAGATTTGCAAGATTGGTCTCATCAATCCCTGGGAATGTTCAGAAGCCAAGGAAGTTTTTATTTTAAAGACAGTCAACCAGGTCTTCCTTGGGACGTCTGAGTGCTACACACTCTGGGAGCAGAGCCTGACAAGCCAGGGAGTAACGTACCTGCTGAGACAGGTGAAGCACAGCCTGACAACCCGCCAGGCTCCGTGCTCTCCTTGCAGATAACGCACATTCCCTGACACACTGCTGCATGCCAGACAAAAACCCATCCTGGTGTGTGCTCCCCTTCTGCATCACTTGTAGCCAGAGCCATTCCTGAGTGATCTAAATGATTTGTGACTGTGCCTTCTAGCTGAGTTTTGAACGGAACAATAAACCTTTGTTTGTAGGGTTTATGTTTTTAAAGAAAAGGGCTGAATAACAGCAAGAAAAGCTACTTATGAAGACAATTCGCCATCTCTAATATCCTTCAAAAGCTTTGTGCAGGAACAATTTGCAAGCAAAGGACAGCTGGATTTTTGGTTGTTCGGTAACAGATTAATAGGCTTAGAAGGATAAAACAAAGCCATTCCTTGCAAAAAAGTCCCACAAACAAACAAAGCAATAAACAACTGCAAAAGATTTTCTAACCCCAAAGGTGATGGGAGTAAAATTCTCATTACCCACTGTGGGATGTTTCAAAGCCCACCAAAATCAGGTGAAAGCCCCTCTGATTCCAGTGATCTTTGGGACCAGCACAAACACTGCAGGTTTGAACGCAGAGAGGGATCTCTCTGGATTCACATACCTCAGCAGGAAGCAGCGTGTAAGAGTAAAACCTCTTCATCTTTGTTACCAGGTCATCATTAGAAAAAGTCACATACTCCACAAACTTCCTGTTTAGGAGAAACCAGTCTGACCCTCCATCAACTGTGATTCCTTCTGGGATCTTCCGGTCCCCCAGGCGCCACATGTGTGTATCACATTCCAGGAAAAGCCGATCCAGTCCTTGTTTTCTGATAAATCTGAAGAAATACAATAGCAGTCATTAAAAGTTAATTTGTATTTTGTTATCACCATGAGCTCTATAAATAAAAAGCTACTTTCTCAAACAAAAAAGGATCAAAAGGTCACTTGTTTATATTTCTGTTCTACTCCTAAATAATGCAGAGAGGTTTAATAAATAATTAATCAGTTATACATTCAGTTATAGAGGCAAAGATCAACAGATTGCTTTTAAACATCATTTTACACCTTCTGCTGTCCTAAGGCAGAACTGTGCAGATGACAGAGCTCTATGGCATGAAAGTCCATAATGCTCATTAACTCTCAACAAACCACTGCATGAAGAACTACAACATGAACAAGAACTAAACACAATCTGTGTGACAGGCTTCTGTCTCTAAATAAAGTCATAGTTTTCCAAAAACAGCAAACTGTACATAAAGGTAAAATGACCAATTTGCTCCTATGTTATTATTCCATTAATTTTTCTATTGGTGCATAGCCAATTGGGAAGAAATACCATTGTACTGGTCTTTGCTGTAGGAAAGAGCATGTTTGCTCCATATTCAAGTCTGTGGGGAACAATGTTTTGTTATCGCTGAACCATGAATAAGAGGAGCTGTAAAGTTATGGAAATGAATTATCTGAGACCAACAAAATAATAATAAGAAAAAAAAAAAGCTGGGAAATCAATCTGTGTTTGAAAACACTTTGGACTGGATGCCCACACATGTTTTGAGACTGTCTGATCCAGGTTTCTGTTTGTTACTCCATTCCCAGAATGGTTTCCCAGAAGGAGAAGCAGGGCAGCCATGAATTAGCACACGCCCTCGCAAGGGGGGCTGAGCGCCGTTAATCACAGTGAGTTGCTGTGATGAACACATCCCACATGTTCTGAGCAGCAGCAAATGCTCGCTAACCAGACACTGCAGAACTCCCAGCGACACACCGAGTTCTCTATGGCTGTAGGATCTGCAGGGCAACAAGAGCTGCAGCACCTACAGTGAGGAGGGCACCGTGTTCCCTTCCTGAACCACATGGAGCTGTGCCAGGGTGTTTCGGGATTAGACATTTTAGTGGTCCTCAAACACATGCAGCCGAAGGAAGGGGAAAAGAAATAAAAGTTAAAGAACAGCACCAAAGCTTTCTGGCCTCCTGCATCTGGAAACATGAGCATTAACCCCGTAGGCCAACTCCCTGGTTCAAGTTCTGTTCTACACCAATCAAAGACCTGAGATGCAATTATGAAATGGTGCATATTAATTTTCAAAAGGACCGTAAATGACTTCAGGGTCTATGTCCTACTGATAGCTATGTCTCTTTTCACAGAGCTCCTCTGTTAACACAGCAGTGCAGAAAATGTGTAAATGAGAGTCAAGAAATTTTTCTTTCCATGAACAAGTTTCTAATTTCATGTTCCATTATGAAGGATAATAGAAAAGTCTTGCAACTTTAATGCAGTCCTCTGGAATGTAATCTTCAAATTCAATATTTATGCAGTTATCTCCAAATCAAATATTAATGTGCCTGAAAGTTTGGTCATTTATTTATTTCCCTCAAAACTAAATGCTCATTTGAGTTAATTATTTTAAGAAAATAATAGAATTTTATCGACCATATTTAAATAGGAACATAGAGTTCTTTTCCATGAAGTAATTTCTTTCAACTGCTATCTCTACCAATTTATCATCCTTTACTCTCATTTTCAAATAGAAGGTTTTTTGGCTGCAAGAGAAACCCTCAAACCAAAGAAATCACCTTTCAAATTTCAAAAACTGCTCTAGTTACAAACTCCCTGAGCCTGTATCACATGATGGGGCTTACAGCTAACTGGGACCAGAAAGCAGTTACACAGCTTCAGCCTTATTGTCTGAATTTGGCAATAGAAGAGCATGACCACACTCCAGATGAGAAGGTCCCAGCAAATCCTGACTCACAGTTTCATGTTTTCCAAAATAGTCTACAGGCTCCTTTTTTTTTATACTTACATGGTTCTATGACTTTTTTGAGCTAATGGCTTGGACAAGCAAATCTCAGCATATGGAGTGAAAATAAGTCAATTCCTGGGAGTACAACTGTTTTCACACCAAATCTCAGCCCCAAATCCTGTAACAACACAGTTATTAGAAGAAAACTAATCACTCATTCTGCAGCAAGGCAGCAATGCCTTTGGAGAGCTCCAAAGAGAAGACCCTTTTGCTAATGCTTCTTGAAACCTCTCTGGAGACACCATATCAGGTTTTAGATACCACTAACAACTGAACAGAAAGCAGGCATTTTTCAGAAGGCTCACCCTTACTGGGCCTCTTCACACCCAGTCGTTACACCTAAATGGAATAACACATTAGCATAGCAAATAATTCCTGTGATCTATGAAGCAATGGTTTATACAAGGGGCTGTGAAGACACAGCTCTCCACTGGGCAATTGCCTGCTGTCCATTTATGCTCCTTGGGAGCCGAGGGGACCAAGCATATTTCAGATCTGCTGGAAGCTAAATGATCCTGCCTGAGGAGGCAGCAGCCGCCCCAGCAAGCCTAGGCAGTGCTGCTGGCACACAGAGCTGAACTGCAACCAAAGTGGAAAAGGTGGATAAGGCTTCTTTTTTTTTTTTTTCCCTCCAGGCTTTCTTCTGGGATGACTGATGCTCCTTAGCTACTCCAGCAATAGCAATTTTGGCACTCAGGCAGGCAAGAACTTACTCTAAGCATAGTGGATATTGCTGGAGGGAAAGGGAAAGGGGCCATTTGTATGCCACACAGGCCTTTTCAAGATATGAAAAACTCTCAAATGCTACAAATAGTTCATAAAGATTCTTAACTAGCCATTCAAGAATGCTTGCAGACACCTCTGAAAAGACAGATAGGAAGATGGAGGGCAAAAGCATGACCCTACTGATTTGTTTCTAGTCTAATGATGTATTTCATTAGTTTCTGGTTATGCTCAGTGGAATACCAAACCAGTATGTTTATGAAAGCATTTCAAGCTTTGGAGAGAGAAATGAAATGCAAATAGGTGTGTTTTTTCCCCCTTGTCTTCCTCTGTTGGGTTTTACAGGACAAATGAAAAGTAGAAAAAAAGTGGTTTAGTAATAGCATTTCAATAATCTTAGTCAATGTGAAAAAAATCCAAGTGCTTCTTCCTGTCACCCTGAACTTCAGGTAAGACCAGCAGATCTCTGCCAACCACAAATGTACTGGCCAGGACAATGACATCCAATTGCACCAAGGTATGGTTGGCCAAATACAACAGAGATTATCATCAGATGAAGAGACTTGACCTATCTCCTAATCTAAAACAAAATACAGGAGGAAAATAATGATGATAAGAGAGTCAGCCAAGAGAAAACAAGATTAAAATAAAACTGGGGTTAGGAAAAAGCAGGCCATAGGATGTTGTGAATGCATGTTGCCACCTGAGCTCAGCAATCAGGCACTGACACGTGTGAAAGGTGTCGTTTGTGCCCTGACTATGTGTGGATGCAGCCTCGGGGTTTACACTGCTCCAGATGGTTATTTTTATACTTTGTTAAAAAAACCCTACTGCCTGCAGCACGTGGTCTGTCACACTGAGTAGAGATGTCAGTCCAGACAGCTCATGATTGCAATCCAGCTCGGGGAACTCCTCTTACTTTGTAGTTTATTTAATTATTTATAATTGCAATTCAGATGAGATTCTAGGATTGTATAACACAAAAAGCATTAGTGAGTTATTTAGCACACACTCTTACAACATGAATACAAACAAATAGCTCAGCTCTTATGATACGTTTTTAACTACTAATACTATTGCCCAATAACTTAATATCAGCAAAAAATATCCCAATCAACTATCATCCTTTTGGATAGTCTTCTCCAAGTGACAGTGCATGCCACAGCAACTTGGGAGAGATCCCTGCTCCTGAATGCTCGTACTTATGCAGTATGTAAGTCAGAGAGTTTGCTGTTTTCTCTTTTCTGAAGTCTATGAATGCATAAAACTTTCTAAAACATCAGATACCATCAGACTGCTAAATGTTACTTATCAGTAACTTTATCACTAAAAGGTTTTCATCTGGAAAGAATGTATTTTGTAAGGTGAAGAGGTTTCTTCCTAAATGTTTCCTGTTTCTGGCCTCTTTCCTAGAAAACCACCTATCGACATTTCACTGTTAACCAGGTGCACTCAGGACCTCATCATCACTACCCACGATTTAAGAATAAGAGCTATAAATAAAAGAGAAACAATTCATCACAAGTCAAAAGTCAGTGTCAAAGCAAGAATCTGTAGAGCTTGGAGCTCCACTAGCAGCATGTTCATGTTTCCCTTAAGGTATGTGGACAAACTCTGCACATTGCTTTGACTTTATCAGCTCCTCTTTTAACTCTCTTTAGACAAAAATCTGAAGACAACAGTCCATTTCGATGGGAAAAGTCAAGTAAATATTTTTACAGATGAGAAATATGAGAGTCACTTGCCAGCAGTGTTTGCACAGCCACCCTGGAAACACTTAATCGGAGTCAATCAGTTGGGAAGCATAAAAGGGGTAACTTGCAATTTAGGTGACCAACTAGAAAACACAGAACAATAATTTGACAATCTTGAGCATAGCAGTTGCAACAAGTAATTTGTGAGTAACCTCTAGGCTACCATATATCTCCATAAACCAGTCACTGAAAAATTCTTTGTAATAAGCAAGTTCATAAAACCCAAACCTGTGCAGAGCAGTATCGTTCCCTGCCTGCTCAGGCCAGAAATCCTGGCCTCTACTGAGTATGCAAAGGATTTCCAGCTGATTGCAACACAGGCTCTCTCTATTTCATCCCATTTCCAAATAGAGTAACTCTATTTCAAGGGTTAAACAATATTTATAACCTCTGAAATAATTAGCAATTGGCTATTTAAACACATCTGTATAGTATCAGCTAATAATTTGTTTTTCTAATGATATGACCTTGCAGTATGTTTCCCAAGACCTCTTCCTGTCATGCTGAAAGCCTCCAGGGCTCACCCCCACTCCCAAAATGGAGCTGAAGCTTGAA